AACTTAATAGTAGAATTTTGGGCCATAGTCAGTTAGAGGGAATCACACTGCTCATTCAGGGAGAAATAAAAGACAATTCAAGTACTTCTAGTTGAGTGGTTTGAAAAATAGTGATGTTGCAAAATACAACATCTCCAGGACCTCCATATTTTCCAATATCACTAGTTTTCCAACCTCTCAATTAGCTGTAGTAAAATTGTCTTTTATTTTTATCAAAATCAGCAGAGCACTTCCCTCCCACTGACAATGGCTGGAAATTCTACTATTGAGTTAGCATAGTTGTGTTGTTAAAAAATATGGTGTTTTCAGAAATATGCCATTTTTTTATATGGTTGCGCGCCAAACAGGGCCTTATTTACTGGAGTCGTAGCCCGCCAAGACATCTGGATACTTTTGGAATGCGCAAGTGCTGAAGCAAAGTGCCAGTCCTAATTACGTAAGCAACCTTACAAGTATGATACTTCGACAGGTTTGAGATCTTCCAGGGGAGTTGGGCTTTGTGAGACTTTATGTCCAGGCATAGTATGATACTACGGTACAAGTATCGTACTATGGAAACTAGCCTGAGGCCCAGATCACCCTGACCCGATCGACCGAAGCGAAATGTCAGATCCACTTAAAGATATGTAATGTGACTTGGCCGATACGGTACTGGTATGATGCCAGATAAGGTCTACTGGAGTCATGTCCTGTGAATTTCCAGTTCTATAGCCACCTAGGTTATGAAAACTTCTCTGGTGATAAAACCACATCCTTAGTATCTCCGCGGGGAAGTCGGGGAAATGCTTCCATTTTATTGCGGCTTCGTAGGATTCGACTACTCCCCTCAACCACCGAGCGCCCAATAAACGGGTGCCGGGATGGGGTCTTCACTTGCACGCTCAAATAATGGTATAGCCTTCTTGGGGTCGGATGGATCACCTGTAGCGGCTGCTGAATTCTGGCAATACTACAGGCTACGGCATCAGTCCTGTGTGTCTGTTGGAATAGACAGCTGTGGCTTCCCTTATATTTCACGGCAGATATTCAATATCGGCATCCGAGTCATACTTTGTGATGTCTATGGTTTATCTCTTCGTTAATACTCTTCGGTATTAAACCCCTTTTCACTCCTTGCCGTTCGGGGTGCTATGTGTTCCTACAATTACTAGGCAATACCCATTGAGTCACTCGTGTATAGTATTATCTCTCAATGGATACCCCACTATCTGTTTGTGCTCGAGAGACCACTCTATAGAGACCGAAACCCACTACCTATTTTTATGGGGTGCAGGTGTTTAGTTGTAACTGGATCTGGCAGTGAGCAGTGGTCGATGGGATCAAGAGGATATGCTGTAAGGGGGCTCCTTGCAGTCAGGGTTCCAAACACCGGGAATGTGGTAAGGTACTGATATGGTGTTGGTATTCAAGATTCTGGCTGCCCTAGGGGATATGTGCGGGGCTCCGTGTACCTGCTTCGTGCGTTTCTTGTCGTCCTTGAATCTCTGTGAACATCTTTGTCGGTTGGGTCTTTTTCTGTGGTTGCAAAGGGCCGGACAAGGTGCGCCCGCGCTAGTGCTATCAGATTGGAGCCGCAAGGCCCCAATCCAGCGGGACATGCAAGCCAAGCCATTTTTTTCTTTTGTCCAGGAAACAAACTTTTTGACAAACGCCCCAGACAAATTCTTCCCCACCGGAGGTGCTTTACTCTCGCCGCAAAAAAAAACACAACGCTGAGCGAAAATGGATTGCTCAAGATTCGACCGAAGATTCCTATTGTCACCACTAATAGCATCTCTTCCACCGGACACAATTTCGATTATTTCCGGCCCAACCCAGGTTGATAATGGCCTCTACCTTGATACCCTGTCTAGGATTGCAGTTAATCCCAAATTCACTTCGTTAATCCTTACCTGCTATGAACCGATATTTGCCGACCTTGCAGCGAGATGGAAGGGGTTTGCTACAGTGGAACAGCTTGCCGCGGGGTTTGCAAGAGTACTCCCCGTAATGCCATTCCTGGCAGACCTTGCCGAGGAATTTCTACTATGCTCTGGCCTGGGTGAAACTTCCCCTGAGTTTCTCACCATGGTGGAGCGTTTGTCCGGCGAATCGTGCTCAGAGGAGCTACCAACAGCGGATCATGGCGAAAAGTTGCTTGGTATGTTGTTGTCGCTTTATCGTTTGCTGTGTTTCAAGAGGGAGGCGTTCTTGGGACTCGTTAATGCCAATGTTTTGTTTGGGCTTGTGAGGCACAAATACCTTCCAATCCGGTACCTCTCGATTAGGATATTGTCGATATATTTGAAGGCTACAGATCGTGCGCAGGAGTTAATGTTTGTCGGTTTCGGGGTTGGAGGTACTACGAAGGAGAAGGTTCTTGGGCTTTGGGAGGGTAGGGAGGTAGACTACGGGTTTTTGACGTAAGGGGCGCTCTCTCATAACTGGTTCAGAGCATTCTATTGATATTTACCATCCTAGGTTGCTGGAGGGCGAGAGGCTGGAGACATTATCGGGGGATTTAGAGACCGCAAGACTTGTAAACGGCCAACAAGAAATGAGCATAGGGCATTCCCGGATGGTTCGTTCTAGCGACCTATCACCATTGACGGCCGATCTTTGTGGGGTCTTGATCCCTAGACTTCGAGGTATGGTGCAATATCTTATTGGTGGGGTATCCAGTTCTCTGACAATTATTCTAGGAACTCCCTCGCGACCTTCGAGTATCGTCGATACGCTCACTACCCGGAACAACATTAGTTCAATTGCCCGAGCACTCCGTTCTCCACGACCTGTACTTATCACTGGGCAATCTGGCTCAGGGAAAACATATCTTGTTCACCAAATCGCACAAGCTCTAAATAATATGGATAACATGATTTCGATACACCTCGGGGACCAGACAGACGCGAAACTCTTGATTGGGGCCTATGCCACCGCCGATGCCCCAGGAAGCTTTGAGTGGAGGGCGGGGGTTTTGACAACTGCCGTGAGGGAGGGCAGATGGGTTGTTGTAGAAGATATTGACCAAGCACCAAAAGACGTTTTGAGTGTATTACTCCCATTGATGGAACGAGGTGAACTCGTGATCCCATCAAGAGGGGAGAAGATCACAGCGGCTCGCGGTTTCAAGTTAATTGCTACTATCAGAACTGCACCGTCAATAAAATCAGATATGGTGGTTATGAACAGTCTTGGAAGTCGGCTTTGGGAGAGAGTAAATGTGGAGATGCCTTCTGGGGAAGAATTGAATGCAATAATAGATTCCCGATTTCCACTGTTGGCCGGAATTTCACCAACTTTGATAGATGTCTATCACGCGATCCAGAAAACGTACACAGAACCATCATTTTTTGCCATCAGTAAGACAAATCTTGGGAGGTTGTTGTCTCCTCGCGATTTGATGAAATGGTGCAAGAGAATCCACGCTCTTTACACCTCCGCCGGCGTTGTCACGAGCCATGAGCCACTATCGGATGGAGTGTTCGATGAGATATTCTTGGAGGCAGTTGATTGTTTTGCCGGAAGCTTGCAAACTAAGGAGGCCCGAACTCTGATTGTCAAAAGAGTTGCGAGTAGCATGCATATACCTTCACAACGTATTGATCTATTTCTTGAAGGAGGTCATATCCCCAGATACACCGACTCCGAACGAACTTTAATAGTTGGGAGAGCAAAGCTCAAGAAACGGAAAAAGGAGCCGGCTGGCCTGAATCGACGGAGGGGATATGCTCAGACAAGGCCATTTGCGACTACAAATCATGCAGCACGACTATTAGAGCAAATTGGTGTAGCGATTAGGCTCGCAGAGCCTGTGTTATTAGTGGGAGAAACCGGTACTGGAAAGACAACCGTTGTACAGCAATTGGCGGATATGACGCGGTTCAATCTTACGGTCATAAACTTATCTCAACAGACTGAGAGTGGCGACCTTCTTGGTGGGTTCAAGCCCGTCGATATGAAAACATTGGCTGTGCCGCTCAAGGAGAGATTCGATGATTTGTTTGAGAAAACCTTTTCCTTGAAGAGGAATAAGCGTTTTCTGGATGCCATGAATAAATTTTGGTCGAGGCAGCAATGGAATCGAGTTATCACGTTGTGGGGTGAAGCTGTGAAAATGGCCAACCAGTTCTTTGCTACTCCTACAGCAACAGAATCTGAAGATAGGCCCACAAAGAAGAGAAAGCTAGGTGACGTGGATAGACGGGTTCTTCAGGCGGAGTGGACTAATTTTGCAAACGATTTTTCAAAGCTTGAGAAACACAATTCGCAATTAGCCAAAAGGTCTGCCTTTTCCTTTGTGGAGGGGAGCTTGGTGAGGGCCGCTAGAAATGGGGACTGGGTACTTTTGGACGAGATAAATCTGGCAGCTGCAGATACTCTAGAGAGCATCGCCGATCTGCTCAAAGACGGCGGAGGCGGCTCTATACTTCTAAGTGAGAAGGGTGATGTGGAGAGAGTAGAAGCACACCCGGATTTCAGACTATTGGCATGTATGAATCCGGCCACAGATGTGGGAAAGCGGGATTTACCGCCTGGATTGAGAAGCAGATTCACCGAGCTATACGTCGCCAGTCCAGATCAAGAACTGAGCAATCTTCTCGCTATTATTAGAGAGTATCTCGGAAATCTGGTGGTTGGGGATGACGCAGCGGTCACTGATATCGCGAATGTTTATATGGAAACTAAGCGCTTGTCGGACGAACAGCGGCTGGTTGATGGTGCGAACCATCGCCCACACTACAGTATACGGACTTTGACAAGGACTTTGAGTTATGTTTTCGAGATTGCTCCGGTATATGGCTTGAGGAGGAGTTTGTATGAAGGGTTCTGCATGAGCTTCTTGACGCTGCTTGACCGGCCATCGGAGAGCGTACTGTTGCCGGTTATTGAAAAACATATTCTAGGCAGGCACAAGAACGTACGAAGTCTGATTTCCCAGATTCCTCGACGCCCTGGGCTAGACTATGTTCTGTTCGAACATTATTGGATGCGCAAGGGAGCATATCCGATTGAGGAGCAGCCGCATTATATTATACCCCCATCCGTTCAACGGAACATGCTGAACCTGGTTCGAGCTACTACAACAAAACAGTTTCCCGTACTTATCCAAGGACCGACGAGCAGTGGGAAAACAAGTATGATTGAATATCTTGCGAAAAAGACAGGGCAGAAGTTTGTACGAATAAATAACCACGAACATACCGATCTTCAAGAATATCTTGGGAGCTATATTTCAGATGACGATGGGCAACTACGATTCCAAGAGGGTATACTTGTCGGAGCTTTGAGAGAGGGTCATTGGATCGTACTTGACGAACTGAACCTTGCACCTACGGACGTACTCGAGGCCTTGAATAGGTTGCTGGATGACAATAGGGAACTTTTGATTCCGGAAACACAGGAAGTAGTGAAACCGCATAAGGACTTTATGCTCTTCGCAACTCAGAATCCGCCTGGGCTCTATGGAGGAAGGAAGGTGCTATCTAGGGCATTTCGGAACAGATTCTTGGAGCTACATTTCGATGATATCCCAGAAGACGAACTGAGGACTATTTTGGAGGGGAGATGCCAGATACCGCCCAGTCGATGTAAGGTGATTGTGGCTGTTTATAAGGTAATTCTAGTGGTTAAGAGCGTAGTTTGTTGAACTGTGCTAACCGTCAGATAGGAACTCTCACTCATTCGCCAAACAACTAGATTGTTTGAACAGAAAAACAGTTTCGCTACTCTTAGAGACCTCTTCAGATGGGCTAGCCGTCAGGTAGGCCGTGATGACCAAAGTTATCAAAGTTTGGCCAATGATGGGTACATGCTATTGGCGGAGAGGGTTCGTGATGAAAAGGAGAAACTCACAGTGAAGGAAATTATTGAGAGGGTCATACGAGTCAAAATCAACGATTCATCTTTATATTCGCCCGAGTCCACCCCGGGGTATGATTATTGTATGGATAAATTCCCTGTAGTGAGCGGCGGCATTGTCTGGACAAAAGCAATGCGTCGACTTTACGCACTGGTTACGAACGCTCTCCGTAATAACGAGCCTGTTCTTCTCGTTGGCGAGACTGGGTGTGGAAAGACAACAGTGTGCCAAATGCTGGCAGAGGCCCTCAGAAAATTATTGTTTGTGGTCAATGCTCACCAAAATACCGAAACGGGTGACATTATTGGTGCTCAGCGGCCAATTCGGAATCGGCAGGCTTACCAGAACCGGCTTGCGGAGGACCTATTAACAGTTCTTAGAGAACATTCACCTACTGAGATTACTGATAACGACCTGGCCGCACTGCTGACGGCTTATGATTCCTTGGAGCAAGACATCGTCGCGAGAATACCTGATAGTGTCCGGGCTCGAATCCAAACCAATCGCAAACGGACGAAAGCACTATTTGAGTGGGCCGACGGAAGTCTTATCCAAGCTATGAAAGCTGGTCAGTTCTTTTTACTTGACGAGATATCCTTAGCCGATGATTCCGTATTGGAGAGATTGAATAGTGTCTTGGAACCTGCACGGGGTATCCTACTCGCAGAAAAGGGAGCAAATGAAACAGAAATTACAGCTGCAGACGGGTTTCAGTTCATGGCCACAATGAATCCTGGCGGTGACTATGGTAAGAAAGAACTTTCCCCGGCGCTACGAAATCGGTTCACAGAAATCTGGGTTCCGTCGATGTCGGATGCGGAAGACATCCTGCAGATTGTACAGGCCAAAATTGCGCCGTTTGCGTCAAAGTATGCCAGAGCTGTGGTAGAGTTTGCACGGCGATTTTCTAAACCCTCTAACACCTCTTCATCTCGGGTGATCTCTATTCGAGATGTTTTAGCTTGGGTCAAATTCATCAACTCCAGTCCCCCCGAGAATCCTGCTTTTGGGTTACTTCATGGGGCAGCACTCGTATTTATTGATGGGATGGGTGCGAACCCCTCTGGTGGTTTGTCAATTGCCTCTGATGGTTTAGAAAAGAAGAAGCGACGGTGTGTATTTGAATTGTCACAACTTTGCGGAGAGGATTTATCTCAAATATACAATCAGCCGATTACTGCTAGCGCAGGTGATGGGGTGCTCCAGCTCGGAGCTTTCTCCCTACAGAGGAATAAGGATGCCGCGGTAGACATTTCTGAATCATTCAATTTGACTGCACCGACAACGGCCAGGAATGCTATGCGAGTGGTCAGAGCTATGCAGTTGCAGAAACCTGTACTACTGGAAGGTAGCCCAGGTGTTGGTAAAACGAGTCTAATATCTGCCCTTGCAGAGTCCAGCGGAAATTTCCTGACAAGAATCAATTTGTCAGAGCAAACTGACCTAATGGACCTTTTCGGTTCCGATGTTCCTGTTGAGGGTGGTGAAAGCGGGGAGTTTGCCTGGCGAGATGCTCCGTTCCTTCGGGCGATGCAGGCCGGGCATTGGGTGTTGCTCGATGAAATGAATCTAGCGTCACAGTCAGTGCTGGAGGGTCTGAACGCCTGTTTGGATCATCGTGGGGAGGCATACATCTCAGAGCTCGATCGCACTTTTAGACGGCATCCGGACTTTGTAGTTTTTGCAGCCCAGAACCCACACCACCAAGGTGGAGGACGGAAGGGACTTCCAGCGTCTTTTGTCAATCGGTTCACAGTTGTTTATGTTGACACTCTTGGATTTAAAGATTTACAACTTATCGCTGGCCGGTTAAATCCATCGGTCTACCCCGAATACGTTTCAAAAGTAATCGAGTTTATGGTTCTTCTGGATCGTGAGGTATCGCAAAATAAGAGTTTCGGAAGTCTAGGAGGCCCCTGGGAATTTAACTTGCGAGATACTCTACGTTGGCTTGGGCTGTTATCGTCATCTACTCCGTTCATGGCCGCTGGCAAGCCTGAAGAGTTTCTGGGTATCATCAAACATCGATTTCGGACTGCGAAGGACAGAGAGTGTGTCGACACGCTATTCGGCCAGGTTTTTGGAACTAAACCTGGTAGAAAACATCTCTATTATCAAATATCTAAGGAGCACCTACAAGTTGGTCACGCGTGCCTCAGACGTCGGAGCGATCTGTGTTTCGTGTCTCCTCAGAATCTCGCAATCCTGAAACGGAACTTGCCTATTATGGAGACAGTTATGACCGCGATTCTGCAGGAAACTCCATGCATCTTAGTTGGGCCCTCTGGCGTTGGGAAGAGCAGCCTGTTGAGGCTCTTGGCAAGTATCGTTGGTGTCGAACTTGATGAGATCGCAATCAATAGTGATATTGACGCTACAGATGTTGTTGGTGGCTTTGAACAAGTAGACATCAACAGAAAGGTTTCCAAGGTCTTCACTCAATTCAATTACTACTTAAAGAATTCGGGAGTCAAATATCTCTGTGGGGATGAATATCCGGGCCCCCTTCAGATAGTGCTCGGGCTTTGTGAGCGTATCAGATCCTCAAATACTGGACTTGGAATTGATTCACTGCAGAGCCTTGTTACTGAGCTTAGGTTGCTTGAAGGAGAGCACAGATTTGGAACGCTTTACCCATTCATTGACAGCTTCGAGGAAGTGATTTCCGAAGCCCATGAAGTCACAAATGCTAGGTTTGAGTGGGTTGATGGTATGCTAATCGATGCCATTGAACAAGGGAGATGGCTGGTCCTAGATAATGCGAACCTGTGCAGTCCAAGTGTGCTAGATAGGCTGAACTCGCTCCTCGAACCAAATGGATGTCTCATAGTCAACGAGCACAATGACAAGGATGGCAGACCAAGGATAGTGCGACCAAGTCAGGGCTTCCGGCTCTTTCTAACAATGGATCCTAACCACGGCGAACTCTCACGGGCTATGAGGAATCGTGGGGTAGAGGTTTTCCTGGACCCACTTCCGATGGAGAAGGGTGCTGAAGAAGATGATAGAGAACGGAAGGAGCTTGCTAAATATTCCCCTTCGACAGAATCTTCCATGGGAATCTATCAGATCATGAGTAAATTGCTCGACAATAATATCGATAAATTGGTATTTAGGCATCTCGTTTATATCGCTCTTGACCACACGCCTGCGGAGAGGACGGAGACCGATATGGCATTATTGCCTAGATGGAGAGATCATATAGGATCATCATCGACGGAGCTGGGGACACAGCGGATGGAAATTCTACTTAATGCAGTAAAAATTTACCCGGATTTGTATAAATGGGTCTGGGCTTTTCGGGAAGATCGTATAGAATATTACGCGAAGCTATTTACAGCTCGCTATGAATTCATGAAATCGCAGGTGAGTAATTAGAGATGACTGATCTGGGCAGCAGAGGGTTCGATCCTGAAGCAAATATTGATTAATTGTTTGAATAGCCTATAAACCTATCCCGCAATACGCCTCTGATGTCCCTTGGAACCATAGCCTCCGATAGGGAGGCGGGCCATTCGCAGAGGATTCTTGAATGGACCGTCTGCACACAATTGTATGACTGCATCAGAGGAGTACTTGAAATTGACCATCTAGAAGAGCGAATTATTCGAAAAGCGACGGCCACAGAAATAGGTCTAAGAGGCATGAGTTTTTTGGAGATATCGGCACCAAAAAATAAAATTCCTGTGTCAATTTCTAAAGCCAATCTCGACTTACCTGTATTTGAGCTCTTGTCGACTGTCCGGGAAGAACTATACAACTGGGCTGATACCCGGGCACGCGATTCTACGTTTCTGAGGAGAATGTACGAGGACAAGAAATTGCAGGGCTCGCTTTTGCGTATTCTGGAGCTTCTGCGGTTATGGCATGATATTGTTGGCCTGGGTAGTGCTCCTGGGAATAGATTGGATGAGAGTGTGCTCCATGTATATGTGGAACTATTTGAGGAATGGGCTAAATCTTCCGAAGATAGCCTTCCCCGTACTCTGATGCAACCAATTGGGCAAGCGTTAGATGGATTCCGGGCTCCTTTCCAACTTATAACTGGATTCTCCATGGAGTTAATGTGGAATTCCATGCGCCCGTCTGTGCCTGCTTCGCTTGTTGCTTGGACTGTTTACAATAAATTAAAGGGAATTGCCGATCGATTCGATGCCCTAACGTCGAGATTTAAGGGTTTTTTTCACCTCTCAAGCTTCTTAGTTGGGGTGCTAACTTTACTAATAGGCTCCTTCGAAGTGGTTGCTTTCCTGAAGAGAACCCTCATCACGGCACTCACGGATGTTTTGGCTTTCTCTGATGTGGATAATTCTCGGAAGCTGATCGAGGGGCTTGAAGTAGAGATTGTCCGGCTTGAGAAGTCACAGACATTAACTAAACCGGAGCAGCTTGGGTTGACTTTCAGGACATCATTTGATTATCTCTTCCGGTTCCGAGCTCTCCGGGCAGCCGTATATCCGAACGAAGCGAAGGTAGGGATTGGTTATATAATTTAAATTACTGGTTTGCTGATTGTTTATTTACAGCTTGACGATGATATGCTCGTTATTGCGCATTTTGCTGGCAGACCCATATCTGGACTTCTTGGCTATCAGGCTCCAAGCACCGGGCTTCGTGAGTTTCCTTCGGAGATGCCTTTGCGGGAGATTTTGCTGAACGTGGTTGTTAGGTACATCTTACGAGCAAGTACTTGAGGATATATACCAACTCGAGAATCCTGCTGTTGACAGCTCACGTAGCCTCGTGGGGGCTCAATTTGTACCTGAAATACTAGAGTCTAGGTATGTGTATCGTTAACCTAATACTTGAATCATACTAACTTGGATATTAGCCGTCAGGTGAGACAATCGGCGATCGGCCAGACGAGCCAGCTCAATATCAATTTGAAAATATTTTCGAAGCAATTGTTTTTGAATATTCGGGATATCACTAGTGATAGGACACTCCAATTGACACAACTCCTAGTTGCCAAAATTCATAAGGTGTTTTCACTCCAGAGAGGTAGCTCGCCGGTGATTGGAAGCTAATTGTATTCACAGATTATCACACTGCATGCAGAATTTTATGATGGAGAGATGTATGCACAGGTTACGAATTCATTTGATATTATTATTCGGGCTCTATTAGGAGAAACAGAGGGGCCGTTGGGAACATCCGGTCTTCTGTTGTTGTTGCCGACATCAAACGATAAATTCAATACAGTGGTTGACACTCACTTTTCCCCTGCAATCGGTGCTATTTGTTCAGATCTGTCCCAATTCGGAACTGTTACTTTGGAGCACCTGGGCTCTGCTTGGATGCACTATGGTTTAGGGTGTCTAAAATTATATGTCCCCAACTGTACCTTCGATCCAGCTATGGGGTTTAAGGTACGGCGAGAGAGATATCTGCGCCAAAAGGGCGACATAGCCGCTAGGATTGAAGCAGAAAAGATTTTTGAATCCAGGTTTACCGGTCAAACAAATGAGTTTCAACTGCAGTATTTACGGAACGAAATTGAAGAACTTGGCGGAGAGCCTCCGGTCCCATCGATGGAACGGCCAGAGGAATCGGTGATAGCTCAGTTACAGGGAGATTTCTCAGTCCTGCTCAAGGTTGTTGTCCAGAGTAACCCGCACGAGCTACTTCTCCCGTCGATCTTGAAGCGTGGTCACGAAGGCAGTGCTGAAGGGGAATTGTTCCAAAAGAATTTGTCACAGATCGCCGAGAGACTGAGGAGGAATTACGCTGCCTATAAAGACCTGGTGGATCCGGTGCTTGGGTTTTTATACTCTTTGAAGCTTGGGCTGGGTCTTGCTGCTATTGAGACTGAAAAATCGGGGTATATTGAGTCACTCCTTATTCCGGAAGTTGGGGGGGATATAACTCTTGATCATTTTGTTGGCAGTGGTAACCGGGATGACGCTCAGCTGCTTTTACTATGGAAGCTTGCGACTCGCAGAGCGGTTGAAGGATTCGATGGGCTGGGTAAAAAATCTCACGATATTATCAATAGGATTTTGCTTGATTTCTTCGATAATTGGAAGGCTAAGACGGTAGAAGAGCAGGAGAAGGCTATTGCAGATGCAAGTCTCTACCGATACGAGGGCGAAGAAGAGGACTACAATGAACAGGAACTAAAGGCCACGTTTCCGGACTACGAGCAAGAAGTTGAAAATGAGAAACCAGCTGCGGACCACCGCTGCCTAGCTATCAAGCTTGCAAAATGCCATTCCGCTCTTTATCTTCCGAGAGATACTTCAGGATGTGGCCTAGCTTCCCTCATTCGTCGCGGTGTCAGTGCTTTTGTGAAAAGCGCGCACAAAATTCATGCGTCCCCCTCTTCTCAAACAAAGCTAGAGGCTTTCCTACCGGCGATTGCACTTTCCCTCAGCGAAACGTCTAAACGGATCAATGGGCGCCAAGAAAGGCCCAGCTCCAAAACATATGATTTTTATACCGACGAGAATCTGGAGCAAGCACAAAGACTGGTTGACACAATTGAGAAATGCCGGTCTCGTCTGCTGGTTTTTATTGATACTTGGCCTGAAAATGTCACACTTCAGGATGCCTTGGAGACATGTCAGGATATACTCAGCTTCCCCAACGACTCCCCGGTGGCAAAGTTTCTTCCTAAAGTCGAGAGGCTGCACGGGTCATTGAACGAATGGCAAAGTGTTGCTAGCAGTCAGTATTCTGTTGCAGAACTTTGCGATTCCCTGACTCAATTAATCATAAACTGGAGGCGTTTGGAATTAACTACCTGGCCACGCCTTTTCGACATTGAGGATGAGAAGTGCAGGATTGACGCAGACTCTTGGTGGTTCTATGTGTTTGAGAGTGTAATTGCTAACCCGGCTTGTCTTTCCGGGGCAGGGGAACATCTGGACGTATTCCAACTTATTTCTACACTTTCTGTGTTCCTTACTTCTTCGCCTATCGGTCAGTTCCCTGGCAGACTTCATCTCCTGCAGACGTTCGAGCAGCATATTCTACACTTATCCGAAGAAACCCCGGCTATGTCGTCTATACAGAAAGGATTGAAGAATCTCGTCACATATTACTCGCAATACGTGCCCATGGCTGAGGATTTCCTGATAAAGCAGAGGAAGACGTTTGAAAAGAAGGTTTCAGAGGTAGTCCTGCTCGCTAGTTGGAAAGACACGAATATCATTGCTTTGAGAGATAGTGCAAAGCGATCGCATTATAAGCTTTTTAAGGTTGTCAAGAAGTACCGAGAAGTGCTCGCTCAGCCGATACAGCCTTTGATTGAGGGTGGCATGCCTTCCGAAGAGGACAGTGATGTCATTAGCGTGCCAGAGGTTCTCCCTCAATTTGACGCCAACATTGAACTGGCCAAAGAGATCTATGAGAAGTGGGTACAAAGATGGAACAGCAGACCTACCCGCCTCACTGATCCTGCTGCGACCGTGCTAATGATGCAGCGAGTATCTCAATCTGGGATTGTCGATGTTGCAAGCTGGCTAAACAATTTCTCGACATCTGTCGTCTCGATAATTAAAGGACTCCAAGCTGAGACTCCCAGGACACTCACCGAAACCAACAAGTCGGAAGTTAAGCATTTGAAGACGAGGAAACGAAAGGCATTCACGGATACATTGAAAGAGCTTCGGCAAATGGGGTTGAAGTCAAATATTAGCAGCTCCCAATTACATAAACAGTCTACCCTCGAGGCAGTCCTTACAGCCACGGAGACTTTGCACACCGGCAATGACAGGAACGAGTCTTATTACTTCCTTCGGGTTTTAGAGCTCTTGCCTAAGATTCGGAGGTCTGCGACGGAGCCGACACCGGGTTTGACGGGCCCCGAGGTCGCGAGAAGTGTGGGGTATATCGAGAACATGTTTTCCATGATCCTGGAGCAGCGGGATGTGATTTCGTCCTCCCTTAGAGATCTCATGGGTGTACAGAAGGTCACGGAGAGGTATAAGGCGCTATCGGACTTGGGGATGGAGCATCCGGAGCTTTATGGAACCAGTAGCATTATACCCGGAGAGTATGCCGATATTCGGAAGAAGCTTCTGTGGCTTCCGGAGAATCTTGGGTTGGCTATTGAGTTGCTGAAAATCCACGCAAACTTTAGTGGGATCAAGGTTGAGGATGCTAAAATTTTCTTTGAGGAGTCTCACGAAATCGCTGTGAATTTGAACACTAGCTTTAGGAGAGAGCTCGCTATCTATGACGGTGTCTGGGAGCACTCGGCTATGGTATTGATGGACCGGGCCCAGGAATCACTGCGTGGAATGTACTTGAAGGCGGAGAATCTCAGGCAGGAACAACCAGAGATCTCTTATATCATCCGCCTTATCACGCCTTTTCTTTCTCTAGAACACCAGCCAAATGCCCCTGCAAGTGCAGGTCCTTCTGTGTCGCTACAAACAATCGACGCCTCCTTACAGGGTCTTTGCGATCTAGTGTTTGTCAGCCTACAAAAATTGAAAGACTCCCGGACCTCTTACCCGACATCACCGCAGAAAATTGGCTGGCTGGCCCAATGTCACTCTGCATTTACATCTAGCATGAGGACTCTACACATGGGTGATATCACTTGCAAGGCGGCAGAGACCCTTTCCTTGGTTGCAAGACTCCAGCCATTCGACACAGCCACAGCCACCTCACAGGCTGCACGTGCACTATTTGCAGCTTATTACCCGATTGTGCAAGAGTATACTAACATCTGTCAAGAGGCACTTCGAGAGGCGCTGGGTCACAATCATGTCGTTTCTAAGACTGCTTATATCCTCTCCAAGTCTGCGGCTACGCTACTGACAAAAGGCTTCTGTATGCCAGAGGAGAAGGAGGCAGGGGAGGAAACTAGCGGTGCAAACAGTCTTGAGAGCGGAACCGGGCTTGGAGAAGGGGAAGGTGTGGACGACATCAGCAACGACATCAAAGCTGACGAAGACCTTTCCGAACTTGCCCAAGAAAAAAACAGAGAAGAGCAAGAAAAGGAGATTGAGAATGAGAAAGACGCAGTAGACATTGAAGGTGAGATGGAAGGGGAGTTGGGCAATATGTCGAGCAAAGGAGAAGACGATGATGGGAAGGACTCCAGCGATGAAAGGGAGGATGATATAGACAAAGAAACTGGCGATGTTGATGATCTTGACCCTACCGCTGTCGATGAAAAACTGTGGGATGGGGAGGGAGAAGATAATTCTAAAGAAAAAGAAGGGGGTAAGACGAAAGGTGAAGAGAATAGAGGTGAAGATATCGAAGGGAAAAAAGAGAGTAGTGAAAGCCGGCATGGTCCAGAGGGCAAGGAAGAGGAACCCGAGATGGAAAACGCGAGTGATGGTGAAGGCGAAGGGGCAGATGAAGAGGACGAGGTTCGGCCAGAGATAGCCGGAGAAATGGACTCACATGTTCCTGAGGTCGATACGCTTGACTTACCGGAGGATCTTGAACTTGATGGTGATGAGAAAGGAGATGGAGATGACGATCTAAATATGGATGGCCTCTCAGATGTTGCTGATGAGGAAGGACCTATGCAAAAAGACGAAGAGAAAGATTGGAAAAACGAGAGTTTCCCTGAATTGGACTCCTCGACAAAAGACCCCGAAGCCGGCGAACCCGAAGACGCAAAGGACGAGAACGGAAACGAAGGAGGGCAGGCCGAAGAAAGCCCAGAGGTCAGTGAGGAGGAGATGGACCAAGGCCAGGAGGCCCCCGAATATCAAGAACAAAACCCCCCACTCCAAACCTATAAAGAGCAGAAGTCAAGAGAAGCTGAAGAAACTGCGCCTAGCGAGGCTCAAGCACATGGGGCCAGTGCTGACCAGCAGGATAGTAACCAGCAGAGCTCAGCTCAACAGCAATTAGGCGGGGAGGTGAAATCCGGCGAACCACCAGAATTTAATAACACCAACGCGGATCAAGAGCAGGGTCAGAAATTGAGTCAAGCTTTGGTACAAGATGCAACTGTTCAGAACGACAGCCAAGCCCCCCAAGATGGAAATCTCAAGGAAGAGCAAGAGTCTTTCCGTAAAGTTGGTGACGTGCTGGAGAAATGGCACCGCAATCGCAGAGAGATTTTAGACGCCCATAAGGATACAGAACACCCTCAATTTGACAATATGGTAAGCCAGAGAACTGCATTTTGGTCATTTCCGGTTGTTAATCATGCATGTTAGGAACTTGACGATCCGGAATTTGAGCATTTGCCCGACGAGGAAACGGTCACTGACACGCAGGCTCTTGGGGCAGCTACTGAGGAGCAAGCCCGCTCGCTTGACGATTCAATGGCGATCGACTCAGGTACTGCGCAGCGGCAGGAGACCTTTGAGCATGACGAATCAGATCCGAGGGGGGATAATGTAGCGGATGATGAAATGAAGGATTTCGAGGATAGAGATGTCGACAATCCAGACTCGGCAGAAGAATGCTCTGTTGGTGCAATCATTGGGAAATCGTTAGAACCAAAACCTGGGCAGCAAATATTTTCTCGTGAAGACGTTGAATCTGATTTGAACCCTGAGGAAATGGATAGGAACGGCAAAGAGCTAGAAGCGGGTGGTTTATCACCATGGCAGCTTGTGAATGGTCGTTCGTGGGCAGAGTCGCGAGAGTTGTGGCGGAAACATGAACAATCAACGAAGGATCTATCAATGGGTTTATGCGAGCAACTCCGACTTATTCTCGAACCTACTCTGGCCACTAAGATGAGGGGAGATTTCCGAACTGGCAAGCGGCTGAATATGAGGCGTATCATCCCATACATCGCAAGTCAGTACAGAAAAGACAAAATCTGGATGCGACGCACAAAGCCCAGCAAACGTCAATACCAGGTAATGATAGCGCTCGACGACTCAAAGTCCATGGCAGAGTCCAACTCTGTCAACCTAGCCTTCGAAACCGTGACGCTCGTCGCAAAAGCCCTCTCCCAACTTGAAGTTGGCCAGATCTCCATTGTCAGCTTTGGCGAAACAACCCGTCTAATCCACCCGTTTGAGCAACCCTTCACCTCCGAATCCGGCGCGAGGATCTTCCAAAGTTTCACCTTTGACCAAACAAAGACGAACATGAAAACTCTCGTTGAAAAGTCCCTCTCTATCTTCGAGTCCGCGCGCACAAACTCCAACGCCGGCCTCTGGCAACTAGAAATAATTGTCTCCGACGGTGTATGCGAGGACCACGACACCCTCCGCCGACTAGTGCGCAAAGCCCAAGAGGAGAAAATTATGATTGTGTTTGTCATCGTGGATTCCGTGCGTGAGTCGAGCATCCTCACACTCGAGGGGGTGAGGTTTGAGCGGGATGAAAACGGCAGTATGGAGTTGAAGATGTACAAATATTTGGATTCGTTCCCATTCGGGTTTTACCTTGTGGTTAGTGATATTAAGAGGTTGCCTGGAGTGCTAGCGTTGGCCTTGAGGCAGTGGCTGGCGGAGATTGTGGATGCCACGGTTATGTAGATCTGAGCCCATGTGTCCCTGAGAGGGTTTCCTTCTTTTACGTTTTTGTTGCTGTTTACCGGGTTGTGATAGCGGTAGCGTTTAATGGTGCGGGATTTCATTCTGTGGCGTGTTGTAAGTAATGAGATAGTGTCTTCAGAGAGGCGAAATGGGATAAATCTAAAGTGTCACCAGACGGGGCTCTGGGGAAAACTACTTGCATCATCGTAGCGACTGACTAGTATAGTATTAATATACCACAGCAAGAACGAGCTTATTCACGTAAAGTCACTCGGGGGGGGGCAGTAGCTAAGGATGAGAGAAAAGCAAGTCTACCCTGGGACTGAGAAAAGTTTCGGACCTGGCTTGCAGAAATTGGCCCAGAGCATAGAGCGGGCTTTGGGGTGTTGGGAGATATGCGAGTGGGGAATAGGCTTGCTGTTAAGAATAGTCACACTCATCATGCTTCGTTTTATAGTTGTCGCTTGCCATATACTAGCCACTGTTCCGCATTCGTTAAGAACAAGAGACTCACCCTCGCAGCTACAAATGTTCAAACAAGAACTTGGCCGAGAAGCACTAGTGCCCAGCAGCTTTTAGTGACCCGGAACCTGAGTTACGGGCCCCCTGCCCAAGTTGCTGTAAGTTCCTGCAAATTTTGGTGTAGTGAAGCCATCATTACACCATAAGTGAATCACTTGTTCATTTCCCATTCCGGTGACTTTAAAAAAACGTCGAGTGCCTCCGAGTATGATACCAAAGTGATGTTTTCTTTCAAGTGGTGAACACTAATATCACTTTTTGGAGGTGAGGCGACATAAGAATTGCCCCCCCACCCTACTTAGTAGGATTACTATTTTTTGTTGTTTCATTGAGGTTTTCTACCATAAGCGAATTCTTGGGAGACGACGTTCAAGCAATGGTAATAATTTGTTTGCTGTAGGATGTCGGGAATAGCTTTGATATGAGCGATATCATATCCCAGTTCGGCGGGACCACTCGAATTTTTGAACTGGTGGAAGCCGTACTTTCGGATGTTGGTGAATAGAAGTATTACTTTTATGGCGGGACGTGGTAATTCTGTCCATATTATAAAATAGTCTAGTCCTTGTTGGACCTATACCGTACTGTCCTCTCCCCCTGATTCCGTAAATGCACTTCCTACTCTTGAATGCAGAATTAGACCGCACTACAAGTGAGAGCAGTGATACAAGGTTTAACAATAATAGTGGTTTTTAGGATGGCTATGAGTAAGGAGGATGCGATATAATACTGGTTTAGTGGTAGGAATAATTACTGAGACATAATCTCCTAAGTCTGTTTTTTTATTTCTTCTTTTTTCTTCCCTGGATTCAAGTTTGCCCCTTCCCCAAAACCCGTGAGTCATTCCCACCTACCTACCAACCTCTCCCCTCCCTACCTTCCGTTCACACCTTCTTTCACTCCATCCAACACAACCACAACTAAAACAGCCTACAAAGACCCACCAAACTTTCCCATATCATCACCTGTAAGTTTACCACTATTGTATATTCAAGTTCATTCACCTGACTGTCATCATCTAACAAACTCAAGTAAGAAAATTTCAAATGCCTTCCGCAAACGGACCCCCTACCCCCCAGGTCATCGAATTGATCAACAGACTCAGTGAAATTGAGGATTTACTGTCTGACCTCCATGAGGAGAATAGAGCTCAGTATGAAAACCTCAAGGAAGTTGAGCAGGATGAAGAAATCACAGAGGAGACCCGTGAATGCTGTCTCTACGCACTTAGAACTGACATCAGCTTTACTGAGGACAAGATTTACCAGTATCAAGATGAACTTAAGGAGATAAACTCTGCTCTTGACGCCCTAGGCTATGGAATTGAGCAATCCGATGAAGTCATTAATGAGGCTAGCTAACTACTAACACCCAATCGAAAATGTTAAGGAGGGTTGTGAAACTGGTTAGCTTGAAATTTTTTTGAGTTGGAATGGGATGGACCTTCTAAATGGATTGATGGGGTATTCTGTAATGAAGTTTATTACCTCTCACAAATAAATTCCAAATCCACTTCACATAATCTACCCTCTCAGTGATTTGGTAACCGTAACTTATTCCACCAAACTTCAACTTTGAATATCTCAAATCGTGAACCACTCCACACAAAATAAAACAAAACCAAGGTCTTTCATCATACCCATTTAGGAAAACATAGCCACCATATTTACCGGAATAATTGAACTTCCCACGAAGACGTTGGAGTTGCCTTTTCCGGTAAGGTGACGCACTTTTTCACTTTTTCCTTATAAGCTAGAATCAGTTTCGGTAGTGTCCTAGCCCCCCTATCCAAGAGAGAAAATTTTGGACGTCCCAGCGAGCGGTTCAGTTATTACTGTAAACAGGGTAGCTACACTAGTCTCTGTAAAATTATCACAGTAGTCATAAAATACCACTCCCGAATCTTGCTTCTTTGTTCAAGTCCCAAAGTTAACTCTATACCAAGTCCCTGTTCCAACAGCTAGTATTATTTACATTCTCGCGCGTGGTATAGTATCTTTTTAATTTTTTTTAGTAGGTGCCCCAAACTATTGAGTATCCTATCGCTAGGCATGTAAAGTACGGTATACTTCATCTCCTTCCCGGCGAAAATTAGCTCAAACCCCTGCCCTCTCCCGTTTGGTGGCAGACGCTGCTCGGAGGTTGCATTATTCCAATTCGTAAATTCTAGTGTTGGCCAGAAGGTTCATCATATACTCAGTCGGAACCCCCCCCCCCAAAAAAAATCCAACAATGCGGATTCCCGAGGGTCTAAGCTCGGTCCATGAGCGCATTGAGAAGGCCTTGGATTCTAAGGTCACTGGAATAAATACGGAGGTCAGGAATTTCCTGAGGAATAAGTCAAGTGAGTCATCTCGCAGGATCATCGTGGTTCGTTATTCCAGAAGTGAGGCTTTAGGTCACCCAAGGGCACCATCCCTATACCCACCACCTACCTACTACTACCATCAAGCCCTCCATTCCCTTTGGTAAATGCCAAAGACCTCTCAGTCATGTAGGGTCCACAAACACTCACACACACGGCGCTCCCACCCCTAAAAAAGACCTATAAGAACGTGCACACCATGGAATCAATACCATTGCCACCACCACCACCAACCAAGAAAACACACAATAGCAATCATGACCACAACCCCGGACGTCCCAGCATCGCCCGTCTCCTCGCCCTCGCCCAGCGAGACCAGCGAAGTCTCGACCGCCCCGGACACCAACCCCCCGGTGACAACGATAGAAGCCCTCTGCAGGAGACTCAACACTCTCCGAACTGCCTCCCGCCGGCTGACCCGTACCCGCGATACTCTGGGAGGTCGCATAGACAGAAAGCTGGAAGCGCACAACCACATGCTCGGCGGCAGGAACCTCACTCTCGACTACCAAGCCGCGCTCACCAAGTATTTAAATGACTTCCTTGAGCCATTGTACAACGACTTGGAGGAGACGGAAGTCAAGCGGGACGAGATTAAAGCTGAGATCACTCAACTTTCTCGGCAGCTAACATGGGCGAGGCTGAGGGAGAGGGAGAGGAGGGTTTATGGAGGGAACGCACGCAGTGCCGGAGGGGGGAAGACTGGGAAACGAGGGCTGAAGAGGAAGAGGGTCTCGAACAGTGAGGGGGAGGATACTGACGGTGATGCCGAAGCGGGCCCCCAGGAGGACTGAAATGTTCAAGCCGTCCAGAATTACCGAATTGTCCAAGTAGTGTACTTCCAGCTCGATACTCACCTAGTAGCCCCTTCCAAGTCTAACAGCTTGTGGAGGTAAATCAACATAACTCTCTATCTCTGCCTCCCAACAAAGAGGATTTTACCTGCGAGTGACGCTTCGTGATTTCTTGTCGCCTACTGTAGGGCTGTCCTTGCCAATGTGGAAACGGCTCATGCGAGTGGCTTAGTTTTGTTGCCATTTTCGGGCACGTACATATGGTAGGGCATAAGATCTACTGTTTTTAGCTGCAGGTGTGCAGGTCTTGAAGGGGGCGTAGAAAATTTAAAGATCACCGGGCAGTTGTACGTTGTGGAATGGGCAAAAAAAAAAGACCCGTTTTCTTTCGTTCTATTATACTGATTTATCATTCTAGCTCTAGTTATAGACTATTCACTCTCCATGAATCATAGTTCCTAAGAGGCTCTGAATTATCATACACTACTCTCCGGCCGCCAAGTTACCTACATTGTCCGTCCCGTCTAAACCAAGAGTGCGAAAACCCGTATTGTGAAAGTATTGTGAGGAGTGTTTTGCATGGCAAAGAAGATTGTGTGATAGAGAATGATGAATGCTTAATTCTCTAGAAAGGAAGAGCGAGAAGCTCTCACTATCTACCATTGTGAGCAAGACAATTAGGTCGAGCGAACAGTAACAATAGCAGAGGAAAGAAAAGTAAATAGAAATGCAAGGAGGTATCTTCAATAGTACCGGAGGCCTAGATGTGTGCCTGGGGTGCGAATTGATGTAAGGAGAAAAAGTAATAGTCTGAACGATACCATGATATCCGTTACTGGTAGTGTCAGAAGCATGTTTCAACAACCCGACCCAATCATACAGCGAGTGACGCCCCATGACTACTCCAAACACCCCCCCCCCGGTCACATTCCCAAAGCATCCACGGCTAACTTTTACACAAACCCCCCCAGGTTAGCCAAGACAAGAGATGAAATCAAAGATTTTGACAACCGGGATTCCCACACGGCCACCCACTGCAGCACAATGCTTGTTTACAGCGGAGCGGAAGGGATGGGAAATTTTCATTGTTCTGTGGCTGAACACAACAGCTACTCTCTTTTTAGAAGCTCGCAACTTTCTCCCCCGTTGATGGGACAAAATAGGCGACCAGTTGGTAGTCCAAATGTGTCGTGATGTTACACCCCTTTTTCGAAATCAAAGGGTTTGTAGTGCGCTGCCGAACGGTGTGCCCTTTTCAGTAGAAAAGAAAGAGCCAAACATAAGGGTGTGGCTTTTCCCAGAAAAGGGAAGAGTCAAACATGAGGGTGGGACTTCCAAAATTGCATAGTGATTCTCATATCTCCAGGCAGAGAACGATATACTACAGGGCAGCTCTCTCATCACCTTGAGCTTTCGCGGCGCGAGGCGCAATTAGCCCAACCCCCAAGCTAGAATTGCACCGTACCAGACATCTGTACTGTAAAGTTACAAGTAGCTGAGAAAAGATCATGTTATAAACAGTAAAAATGTCTACCCCTTCCTTAACGGGAGGGGGCTAGGATATCCATAAATTAAGCAAGCATCTAAAGCCCCTCACGAGGAGCCAAAGCCGCTCAAATTCCTATGTAGGAGTAAAAAAATAAGGAGCTTGACCGAGACCAAAAGAAAGAAAGAAGGATCCCTATGCGAAAGATACACGATACCCACCAAGGGGAAAATATTAGGAAACGGCATCAGGTCTGGAGCGCTGAGTGTTCTTCCGCCTTCTCCGTATCTTCTGGTCATTGAACCAAGGAGGTAACACAACTGGACCGATATAATTCTCAAATTTATTTCCCGCCTCTTTTACGAATTCCTCGTCCGTCAAGTCCGATAGGGTGGCAGATTTGGTGATCTTTGCGTTTATCAGCCGTTGGATAATGCTCTCGTAAGAGTTCTCTGTCTTTGGCTTAATCACAATGACTTCTCCGGACATCGCATTGATGAGCTTGCAATCAGAGCCCTTTCCATGTTTTGCCTCTACAAGCCCGGCATACAGTGCAGCTTGTAGTATGTGTTCAACTCGTAGCTTCTGCGTGTATTTCACTTCCCATATGCGTTTGTTCTTGAGATCTGAGATATCGAGGACTCCGTATATAGATGCCCTGTCTATGCCGATTTTGCTGTTGAGCTGGGTTCCACTGAAAGTATGGCTGATACCCTGCTCAAACCGGCAACCAGGTGTAATGTATTCGAAGAGAATACCAATAATACTCCTCCTGTGCTTTGGCTCAACCCATGGATAGCGATCAAGTGGTATCGACAGAAGCTTGACCAACAATCCAGACTTGATCGCCCCCGAGAAGTTTGCCAGAAATAAAATATCGCCATCGTCCAGCTGCTTGGCAGCCATCCGCCGCAAAACCATTCGGAGATGGTCATTGATCTCAGGTCGGTTATCTTCGATTAGTTTGAACAACCCGCTCCCGGGGCGTTGCGTCCCATTGTTAAACGCTTCGAAACATTGGAACAGCCTAGCGAATGAACTGAGGTGCCAGTAGGTAGCGCGCCTCCCCCTAGTGTAGTACTCGTACATTGCTGGCACCGCGGTTCCCGTTATTGCCGCCACACTCTCCACAAGCCCCCCACCTATGTCAATTTCCGAAGGTGGGGAACTCCCTTGGTATGCCGGGGATATTTGCTTAAGCTCCAACTCTTGAATGCACGCTGACATATCTTGGTCATGGACGTTCCTAGTCAAGGTTGTAACGGCAAAGCTCCTCCTCTTACCAATCTTCTCTCTCCCTGAATTAGGGGAATGGACTTCCATATTCACAATCTCACAAGTATCTCCCAATGTTTCCGGATCTATGAATGGAAGGTACCTGTATTCACAGTGATGCAGAATCACTAAATCTGCCCCAGCCCTCGTTGCAGCAACATACTGCGGGTTTCCAATGACCAGGGTGTCCTCGGGGGCCTTGTTATAATGGAGGTGGTAGCTTTCATCAAACCCATACATAATAGCAGCCTCGCGCTCGATTCCCTTGGATTGGTGATAGGTACAAATCGTTATTTTCCCTCTGGACTCTGAGAGTGAGACACTTTGGCCGTCCACAGGGTCAGATACCAGCACAGGATGTCCTTTCAATGCCAGACAATTGGCGAGATCGATAACATCGCGACTTCTCAGCGAAGGTGTAGGAACGAGAATATCTGAATGATCCATTTTGCCGAGCAGGCGTTCGACCTCCTTAAAGGGTTGATAATCGACAATAGGATCTTGCTGAAGGGGTCTATAGAATACATATCGAGGCCTCGGAAAAGCCGAACCATCCGGAGCTTTGCCCTTGACCGACACAATCTCCTCCTCCAGCACCGGCTTCAGCATCTGCTGGTTGATAAGGTCTGCATTCGGCTTCGTTAAACGGTAGGATCTGTTCTGCTTGATCAATTCCCAAACTTCCTCATTTCCGAATAACGCGCTAAGCGATGCCAATGTCAAGAAGCGAGCATCGGCACCGTTAAACTCGTACAACTCTTGACGTGGATCCCCGAGCAACACAAGCCTGACCGGACCAGGCCGTTTTCCTGTGCCGGTCGAGCTGCACAATGGATCAATCGCTTCAGTCCCCCCTTCCTGCCCCCTTGCCCCTTTCATGCTGGTCATAGCACTTTTGCCATTTTTTGTATCCTCAATGTCTCGTACCACCCTATCAATGAACATCTTCAAGATGGGCGTCATGTCCTGCTGCTCATCAAGCACAAGAACGTCGCAAAGCGGAAGCTCCTTTCCACGCATAACCGGAAGTTTGTCCCGGATAATCCGCTTCAGACCCTGATCGGTATCGCATTCAGGGGAATAAAACCTATGGCCGAGTGTGTGGTAGTTATAGACAACGGCATTTTCCAGTCCCAGGGCTGCAATGCGCCCATTGGTTTCTATCATCAAACGATTGTTGTAAACCATAACCAGGAAATTCTTGTCCGGCAATGCGGCAGCTAGATGAAGAATCGTAGTGGTTTTTCCGGAGCCCGCACACGCGTTGAAAAGGATATTGGCCCGGCTCATGTGTAGAATCTTGATGGCTTGAGTTTGTTCATCCGATGGTGAGGGGAGGGTGGCTGTGGCGAGTGTCCGGGCAGTAGGGCAAGGGAGCGACAAACCTGCCCGAGGAAATATGGGTGACGATTGGAGGATCCGAGGCTAGAACGATGAAAAGGTGGTTAGTGTACAGTACCAAAAAGCTTGCCATTCAGGGTGCATGCACTGCAAAGGTATCCCCGAGGGCGACTTACAATTGTATGGCCACAACGAGCTGCCCGAGCAATGCGGTATCCGAGGCCCATAGCCGCAAGAATTGAGATACCGGTGGTGCTTGTATGTTGTAAAGATGGCGGTAAGGTCCCGTGGAAGAAGAGGGGGAAGAAGGTGATATATGGGCGGTTCAAACGAGACCGCTTTCCTCCATGGCACCGTTATTATTTATAAACATTGGTCAAACGGGTATTGTGCCAAAGATGTCACCATTGCACCAAGAGGGTCCGGAGTGACTTATGGCGGGGCAACCCTGGACCGCGATCCCGTGCCGTATGATACTATAAATCTATCGTGTTATCAAATGATACTCATAGCAATCCTTTCCCTGCCCTGCCCTACCGGTACTGTACTATGTACAGTACTGTACACCTGATCGGGCCTGAGCTTGGCACCGTATCGGCCGGGTATGATAAATAGGCAAACGGGACGAAGGGGAATCGGCCTCCGAGGCTATCATAGCACTGTACGAGCACTGTACTGTATGATACGAGTGCAGTACACTGTGAACCGGTACAGAGCATACCCTTAAAATACCGTACTGTACCTTGAAATACAGGTGTACTGCTTTGAACGTCACTGATAAACTGCTATCAGGACTGGTACTCGAGTACCGGTATACGAGTATTGGCTTGCTTGTTCTTGCGTGGTAAGTGTGACAGATCAAGTAAAGTGTGAGTTGCCGGTGGTTCACAAGGGGATGGATGGATGGGGTGACCGTACGAGTACCTCTGGACCAGTATGCTGCATCCCTCCTCGCGAGGTTTGCGGTGTACCGAAATACACCTGTAAGTTACCGAAACACCTGTACCGTCCATGCACCGAGAGCTCTGAATCTCCATATAGGACCGCAAGTGAAGCATATGATGCTCGTACTGAAATTCAGCAACACGGAAGCTACCGTTTGGACCGGTCCGTAGCTCCCGCGTCAGGTTTCAACGCGTCGGGGATACTGGTGCGTAGGTGCCTGTGCTGGTACAGTACAGTACAGCACTCCAGAAACATGGAGTAGAAAGTGCATAAAAGCGGAATTTCTCCCATGATACCTGACCACTTGCAGCCCGCACACCAAGACCCCCCAAGCCCAGACCCTCTTGGGCGTAAACAACCCAGTATCCACTACCATACAAGTACCACGATTGGGCGAGTGATCAATGACCTTAATCGCTGGAGCTGGCCCAGAACACGGCACAATAGCCATATCCGTAGTTACAGGCAATAGGAGGGCGTTAATCGTGGTATGGAGAGTAACTTATTATACAAGCTGTGCGTTACAGTAAGTTGGGGGCTAGAAAGCTTAAATATGCATTAGTCGCCCCCCCCACCACAGACACTTGTACCCGTGTTGTGAAGGAATACCCTGATTATCACACTGTAAGCTACGGTAGTCTTGCCATGCATGATACGATACTCTTACCCATAATCCCCTTGTCTTCAACGAACCAGCTCACCCACCTCTTCCCCCCTCCCGACTGCTCCAACCTTCTTGAGGGCGCGGCCGCGGTATCGTATCATACCGTAGGAATAGTAAGGACAGTGCATGGCTGGAACCCTGATGAAGGGCTGACCGCAGAGAACCACTGCTGAGGGAGAAATACTCGAGTACGCATGTATCATATTTCCCCTACCGGTAACTTATCATTTATGGTAAGGTCACAGGTTCCGCTGCACGGGCCATACGGTAGGTGATACCCTACCACCGTATACATACAGGAATCCTCTCTCGGGCGAAGTACTAGTAGAGCTTCAAAGATTCCTTCTCCCTTTCTATTGACTCCTCCATCGCCGGCAAAAGTCTTGGCTCCCCAGCCCTGTTATCTTGTTCGGTTTCAACCGCTTCCTACCACCACCACCCGCAAGGAACACACCCACAACCCCCCCCATTCAAACGGACACACCCGGCCACTCAAGTCGCATAATGAAACTCCTCGAGCTTCCAAACGAAGTCCTCCTCCTCATCGCCGCCTTCATACCCCCGCCATCCCTTCTCTCCCTCGTGCGGGCCAATCACTTCGCGCACGCCCTGCTATCTCCCCTGCTCATAAACAACTTCCGCGACAACGGCGCCCTCTGCGAAGAGTACGGGTTGAAGGCGCTATACTTCGCCGCCGAGTGCGGAAACAAGGCCACGGTCAAGAGATTGCTCGAGCGCGGGCTATTGAAATACGTGGGGGGCGGCACCCTGTTGAATAACGCTGTCGTCACGCAGCCGGATGCGGTGCTCCGCACTCTGCTGGACTGCGGGGTTGCCGTGAACACTCGAGATTCGGATAGGCGCACGCCGCTGTCCATTGCCGCGAGGATGGGGAGGCTGGGAGCTCTGAAGATATTGTTGGAAAGGCCGGACACCGATGTGAACGTCGAGGACCAAAGGCGAGAGACCCCCATTCGGCACCTGGTGCGCAAGGGCGACGAGGCCACGCTCAGGGCTCTCCTGCAGCATAAGCTGGTCGACGTCAACCGCCCCTCCAAGAGCGGGCTGGCGCCCATTCACGACGCCATCAATAAAAACCTCTGCGTGGTTCTGCGCATGCTGATCCAAGACTCGAGGATCCGTATCAATATCGTTGGCCCGGGCGGCTGGACCGCGCTGCATTTTGCCATCAGATTGCACAATGAGAAAGCTTTCCGCTTGATTCTCGAGCATCCTGACGTTGATGTTAACGCTCAGGACTCGGGCGGGTGCACTCCCCTCCATGTCGCTCTGCTCTACGGGGAGGAGCACATGGTGCGTGCCCTTGTGGCGAGGGGGGATGTCAAATTCGGCATCACCAATGGTCATGGGAGGACGCCTTTTCAACACGCTATTGGCTCGGGCCAGCTAGAGTTGGCAGATCTGTTCCCGCAGGCTGTCAGGATTTAACCACGACTTCACTATCATCCTCATATTTAATGCCATTGTACATTCTTTTTCTTGTTTTCCTTTCCAATATGATGCCGGCGAATTGTGCGGGGACCGGCCACAGACCGAAATTTAAACTGAACAAAATATCACATGACCACTGCAGCGTAGGAGGTCCTCGGTAAGAACCTGATGCTCGACATTTGGCTCAAGTGGCCCAAAAAAAATATGACATGCACGCTCTCGATAAAACATCGGATAGAAATGAGAAGATTACTCGCATTCCTTCCACCAAGAATACCACGATTCCTCCAATAGACTCACTCCATCTCGCCGAGGCAAGCTCGCCCCCACTAACCTAACCCGTGATAAGGGAAATTTGACCTCCAAGTGGAAGGAAGCCTCCGCCATCCGGGAGCGCTCGAGATGGGCAGAACCAAAGCCGATATCTGCACTCATAGTCGAGCTCGCACCAGTCACGAGGGCATATATATCTCACCAAGCACGGCAAAGATAAAGTAAAAACCTTCCCACTGGTGCAGTACAGTATACCACATATCCTGTGTCTGGATCGCCGCCGCCGAGTGACCACTGCCATGCCAACCGCTTCTCCCCTCCTCCACCAAAAATGTGCGCTAGCGTGGGTACGTATGTATCAGCACCCCTCCAAGTCCCTAGGAGGAGTGGAGCTCCTCCGATTTCCCACCCACCCCACGACCTTGCACTACTCACGCCATAGACTTGAGATCCAGTGCCCTCGGATATGTATTCAAGGGTCAGTTTCCAGTGGCACGGCTAGGGGTCGATGGGCTGCTTGGGTAGGCCAGCCGTGCTCAGCGCCGGTTAGAGAGAGACAAATATACCCTGCCGACTTTTTCCGCCTTTTGTAATGTATAATTAGGGGTTGGGGGGGTGGGGGTCTACACTTTTTCCAGTTCTGAGCGGAGGTGGGTAGTTATTGAATACGCATATATTAGAGTAGCTTTGTCTTACCGTGCTAAAAATCTCTACTCTAATTCACCCTTTTCGTCTACCGTATTCCGGATAGCATCTGTAAAAATCTAATTTCATAAGAACAGTGCCCCCCCACCGTATATCATCCCCATGGAGTAAGTAAGCACGCAGACTCGATCGATTCATCGGATCGGGCAAAGCCAAGGAGAAAACGGATGTGAGGATGAAGCCATCAGGGTGATTCCAGATATGATACTCGTGAACGTAAAGTCGAATCTGAATCGGGACCTGCGGGATGCCAGAAACACCTGTCATTGCAAGGGGAAACAGTACGCCCAAATCCTACTGGACACTGGCGGCAAGTCCTTCGTTTTAATCCATCGTGCAGATTACCTGCTCTGAACTTCATAATTGCTCAAGTTTGTGATAGCATCATTGGCCATCACTCGATCAACCCCCCCCTACCTATTGGAAGAGCAGCGTGCGAGTTTGTGTGAGAGAGTGAGAGCTGAGTGAAGGTAAGGACTTATAGGATGGATGAGCTATGAGAAGCAGCTCTGGGGGCAAGAGATTGAAGTTTTTTCTTGTATTGTTTTCAACACCTATGTCCCACATTGCAGCACTTAACCCCATAGACAAGTTTCACTATACAATGACATGAGTCCCGATATTCCATGCTGAAAGTACTCCCCTCACATTGGATCAATAACTACCGCACTGCCTATAGCGGTTTCCGATGTACGATATCATACCTAGCATTTGTCTGGCGTTGTTGAATATATGAGAATGGTTACGTGCAAGAGCTGGGAACATTCGCAGATATACTCAACTGTTTATGTGCTTCTGATACCATGGAACACAGGTCTGCATCTTACATTCGCCTCCTTTCCCCCCGCTTCTTTTGTTCCTCTCGCAACAATTCCCACGAAGATCAATCCGCATACTTCCTTGGCTTGCCATCAATTCACATCTTTCCTTTTTTTTCTTTCAGTTTTCTCTTCTTGCTCTTTCACTCTACTCTTAGCCGATAAGATTGATTCTATTCTCTCTCCTTTCTCACTGCCCTCCCCCAATTCCGTAAAACCCTCGTAGCAATCATTGACATTCCCGTTCGATCAACCACAATTTACAACAGATGTTAAGGTTCATAAAGTATTCACCCGTACCCCAGGGTCTACCGGTGTCCCCGAAACCCCTCCGTTTTGCCGCTGAGCACTACCTCGGTAATATCCAATTCCGCCCGCCCCCCGGAATCGACCTCTAAGTCAATTGAGACGCGAATTAAACCCAATCCCCCCTCATAAGACCTCTGACCAAGACTCTTGCTCCAAGTGAAAGGCATCCCCTCGCGGCATAATTAAACACAATGCAAGAAATGGCGATGGTCCAATCCCTCCATGCACGGAGTTACCAGACAATATTGCAGCCCCCCTCTCACGCCCTTAGGATAGAAGTCAGATATGAGGGCCATGAGGGGTGCCCACTCTGGAATACCGCCCAAAGGGCTCTCAGCGGACATCGAATGTGTCTGTGGCTCGTGGTTTACGGCCTGAAGGGGAGGAAGTGAAGAAGGGGTGTGGGTGAGGCCGTGTTTATCATACCCATAGTGCAAGGAGGCTCGATTCATTTAGGGCACAATAAAACTAGCACTTTCAGCAACAAGACCTTAAGGTCTTATCTCCATGCCTACAGCATCGGTAACTTAACGAAGCACAAGAAGAAAAAATCGTTTGGATTAATTTGATACCAGCCAGAATTTTCCGCAGACCCCATAACCAATCTAAACTACACAATAGCCCGAACATCCTCCGCAAGGCTAGCCCACCCTTCAACCTTCCATGGAGAAATGACTATCGCCCTCTGATTACAGCTCATAATGCCCTGTTGAGCATAGGCAAATGATAGCTCTTCTGCGTCCAAAACTTTGCTTTCCTGCGCCACCCTGAGCGCCATCGCCGTGACATGATCATTTCCACCAGAAAGCTTTGCGAGATTGTTCCATGCGCTCGAAAGAGAAGGCTGGATGAAGATGGATGTTGTGGCTACTTCTATAGCATCGTCCCGTTCCTATTACATGGGTCAAATTTATTAGTGGGGCTAAGCGGAAAGGAGGCTTGAGAGAACTAACTTGGAGTTGAGCCATTTTGGTGAGCAGGTTATCGACCTGTTGCCTTGAAGCCTTGATTAAACCTTCTCTACCTCGAACAGCCTGTAGATCGTCCATAACGGCTTCCAAGACGTCTTCGTTGTTATCTAAAATTCCGATAGCTCCGAGCAGCATTATAGACTGTAGATGGTCAGGATTTTTTTCGATACTATCAAACTTCCGTCAGTGATCCCCCAAGGCAAACGTACAAGTAAATACTGACCAAGTAAATAACTGCTCCCTTGCAACATCCCTCTCCTCATTTCCCCCTTTCGCCCAGAGAACCTGAGAAAGCAGACAAACCACATCCGGATTTTCCGAGGACTCATTCAGGGCTGCCTTGAACATCTCCAAGCTCTCATCCATGTTTCCAGAATAGTAATATCCCAAACCAGCCGTGAGATGTGCCGACAGCCGGCATTCTCCCAGTCTTGAAATCTCCCCTGAAAGATCCAAAGCAAAAGTAGCATTCTCTATCGCTGCCTCATAATCCTCCTGGCCAAGCTTAACCCGAGCAAGATCTGCCTTCGCCTGCGCGTAGCAAATCAGGTCCTCCTCCTCCTCCGCAGTTTCGTATTTTTGCTCGAATTTTTCACAGACAGCCTCGAGCTTCTCTGAGGCTGATACAAAGTCTTTTACGCGCTCGCCAAATAGTGCCGCTAGACGGAGCGCAATGGGTTCATCGGATACCTCTTGCCGTAGTTTTTGCAATGCAAATATTGGCCCCACCAAAGAAACTAGTCCAGATTCGTGTTGCATCTGAATGACCTTATCAAATGCTGCTGTTGAAAACTGACGTTTCACAAGTGACTGGCTCAGGTTAGTCTGGGCCCTGCATGTTTCGGGTTATACCATACTCACAGAAGAACTATCCGCTATCTCGAAGGCATGCTCAAATAGGTCTTGTGCATCCGCTTCATTACCAGTCATTGAAGCAATGATGCCTTGCCCAACCCACGCTAGCGCATATTCAGGATCGGCACTCTGGGCTCTAGAAAATGCTTCATTTGCCAATTGTATATCATTTTGTAAGAGATATAAAGTCGCCAGGTTCGCCCAAACTCTAGCATTCTTCTCGCTAATATATAGTGCCCTCACCAGAGCATGTTGAGCTACTTTGGGATTGAGCTCTCCTGTAGCAACACCAAGCGCATTCCAGAATTCGTGATTCCCAGGCTCAAGCTTGATAGTCCTCTTAAAGCACCGAATGGCCGCCATCCTATGTCTCATGGGCCTATCAGGTAAAACAACGTAGGATCTATATTCAGCGCAGCCCAGGTTGAACCATGCAACGGCATGTGCATGCCTATCCTCCGCGCTGGCATAAACAGCCCTCTTGTACGCTAGTATTGCCATATTCAAACACAAAGTGAGATCATCGACTTCAGTATCGCCCAAAACCTGTGAGCCAACGCCATCAACTTCTGAAAGAATGTCAAACTCGGTCAAGTCGATTTCGGTTTTGAGTATCTTGACAACCAAACCCCTAGGCATGTGGTTTACCAAGCTCTGTATCCAGGTGAAGGCCAAACAACAATCCCCAAGAGTCCTCCAGAGATTAAAGGCATCCGGTCTCTCTTCGACAATCCTTTGTGCGATTTCCAAGCTTTCAACGGCACTATCTGCAGCGTGCCCGAAAAATCCGGTCTCAATATAATGCCATGCAGAGGCCAATTTGGTCTCTGACAATGCAACAAGAACACCAAACTCCTTCGGCCTTAACTCAAGCACTGCGCGATAGCCGATAGACGCCTCCTCATATTCACCAATCTCACGTCTTACATTGGCCAACATATACTTGGCAAACCAATTTGTGGGATCAAGGGCCTCTGCTCGGAGAAAGACCTTCAAGGCTGAAACGTACCTCCCCGCTGATGTATATGCCTCTCCTAGGCCTACCAACGAATGAAAGTCGTCGGGTGAAGTGCTCAAAGCTGCTCGAAATGCGGGTATAGCCAAACTAAAATTCTGGGCGTTCAGCTCTACGACACCAATAGCACTCTGCGGCCAACTGACACCCTTCCCGGGCCCAGATCTCTTCTTATCGGCTTCGGCGGCCCTTCTTGCCACAATCTCAACCAACTCCCACTCCCGACTCTCGGCAAAGTTTCTGGCAAGACGCTCGGCTGCCTCCAACTCCCCAGCTGATATCTCAAATGCCTTCTGAAAACATCTGTCGGCCCTGTCCGAATTTCCCTCTATGTCCTGGTAGTAAATTCCCAGGCTAGTATAGGCTGGTGCGAAGCTCTGATTACTCTCAATCGCAGATCTGAAGTAATGGTATGGCCCATTGCGGTCGGCCCTACACTCTTCTATAATGCACATCAGGCGACGAGAAACTTCCTAGGATGGGAGATATTGTACCGTCGGAGCTCCAAAGCGCCTGTCCGATTCTCCATAGCACCTGTGCTTTGAAATCGCGCCATCTAGCATCAACACCGGGTATCTGGCTCAAGCACTCTTTCAGCTTACCCAACCCCTCTGAGAAATTTCCTCTAAGCACATCGCACCATGCTGCCTCCGACATTGTCTTCAAATCACCAGGGTCCAAAGCCAAGGCTTTTCCTAGAAAATCTGCAGCACCGACGTAATCATGCTGCTCCTCAAGAACCAAGCCCAGCCCAACGAGAGCAGATCGGTACTTTAAATTCCGTTGAAGAACATCCTCGAACAAAGCCTTAGCTTCGTCGTGATGTTTAGGAGACTGGTAATGAATCAATGCCCTCGCCAGAATAACTTTCATGGCATCTGAATTTCTAGGAAAGCAGATATAAGTAAAGTCCAGTGTCTGGTTTTCAAGTGTGTAGACTCACTTCTGAAGTGTGAGCCCTGTGTAACTATAGTCAATGGCCATTGACCCGATACCCCACCTTGTAACTTTGACAACAGACTCATATTCCTCAAGCATCGTGTAGTATTCACCCGCGATACGGAAAGCAAGCGCAGATCGTGGAGCTTTTTGCTTCCTCAACTCCCCCTATATCCTCATTAGCTTCTGTATTGACACCATGGGATCAAATGGAAACATGCGATCGTTATACTTATTCTCTCGTCTGGAGGCAAAGGCTCCTCGAGGTCACCAGAAACGGCGATTTTGGGTATCTCTTCTTCTCCTCCCTTCTCCACCTCTAGATGTGGGAACGGCGATATCTCGGACCCAAGATATGAATTCAGGATAACAGCTAGTGTGCTAGTAGGAAAAAATCCAATGTACTCCCTTAGCATATTCACATCATGCTCACCTATTCAGTTGGGTCAGCAAATAGAAGGGACAAAAAACATTAGCAGGGCTATACCAATTTTCTCGCAATCCTTCCACTCGAGAACAATATCCCACGCTAGCTCATACGGATATTTAAGAATCACCAACCCATCGGCCAGTTTCCAGACTTTGTTTCTCAGCTTCGGCTTCTTCTCTTTTGGGAATGCCAAGAGTTTCTCGTAGCAATGTTGTAACAACTTGGTATCTGCCTCCCGCCTTACTTCTTCGTCGTCCGACCAATTGATAAGTTCCTGGTATAGCTCTTCCAGCTAAAATCACACGGGCCAGAATGTAAGCTACAGGAATAAAGGATATAGTGGTCTAAACATACTGGAGAATTGCCATAAACCTCCTTCTTAACCTCTAACGCAACCTGACCAAGCACAGCACCAAGACGAGACCTCCGGCTGGCAACCTCCCTATTGATCTTCTCCCTTTCCTCCTCTTCCACAAGGTGAATCAACTTTCCGAGGGTCTGTGAAGGATGGGGTATACGGCCCTCCAAGTAGCTAAATATCGGGCTTTCCGGAAGGAGCACCCGCAAGGCACGTTTTCGCTAATCCAAATTAATCCCCAATTAGGTGCCAATCCCACTATTCTGTAATACGGATACAAACCTGTGCTACTGTTCCTTTTTCCTTCACAAAGGGCACTATATTGTCTACCACTGTCTGGCATTTCGTCCGGTCATCCCTAAGCGAACCATCAGCTTTCCCACCCGCCCGTTCCTGTAATCGGGGAACTACATACATGGCCTCGTAAATAGTAGCCAACCTGACCGCGGCGCCAATATAAGAGTCCACCTTCCCGCCAAACTTCTCGTAAAGATCAACAAGTCCCTTCCAAGCATGAAAGCTCTCTGGATTGCCTGTCTTCTCCCGCTCAACCTCCTCCGTAGCGATAGCTTCCAGGTATGCCGTCTCGCTCTCTTGATATAGCTGCTGTCGGAAGAGACTTATGCCTAATATGACCTTGCTGATGATTCCCTCATCATCACCGCTATCATCAGCACATTGCTTCAATTTTTCATTTTCCTGCACGAGGGAAACACAAACCCGATATAACTTTTTGGATCTTCCTCCAGAGCCTTCCTAGTCTCTGCTTCGGCCTTCACCCATTCTTGTGCATCCAGGTGGGATCTGGCAGCTTTTAGAGCTGCCCTGAAGGCTTTCGTTGACATCTTTGCGGTGCTTGTGCAGATCGTAGGGGCGTGTGTTTTGGTTGAGTGTCTAGAATGTCGTCGGTAGGCTTGCTATGATACTATATCCAGGGGAATGGGAATAGGGATAAACTTTAGGGTACAACAATCACCATCCCCTAGTCATCATAGGCGTGAGGTGATGCTCGGCAGGCTCTCTGGGGAGATGCAGAAGCCCACAATCGCAAAGAGGATGAGAGCATGAATAGAGCGGAAATTATGGCAAAAAAAAACCAAAGGTATACCGAATAGATGGACTTGGATCCCGTAAATAATAGGCAAGAATACACCCCTCCAAAAATCTGCGCTCCGTAGGCCCAACTTTGGGTGCTAGAGCCCCAAGTTTTGTGCGGGGCTAAACCGGATCAGGAAAAACAATAATCCGCCACACACAATCCGCAAGCTATCTTTAAACCGGCCCCTCTCCCAACTCATTTCCCCCCATACCTCCATGCACCCAACAAAGCGATAACTCCAGTCATGGCCTCCACCCTCTTAACCTCTAAACATGTAACCTACATCCAGTCCCTCGATACCAAGCGTAACCACCTAGACTACCACCTAACCTCGCACCTCCGCCTCTCAGGCATCTACTGGGGTCTTACCTCCCTCCACCTCCTCAACAACCCAACAGCTCTCCCCCGTTCCGAGACCATCACCTTTGTGAAGTCCTGCTACCACCCTTCCTCCGGTGGCCTCAGCGCCTCTCCCGGGCACGACCCACACCTCCTATACACCCTCTCAGGCATTCAAATACTCGCCACCATAGACGCACTCGATGAGATCGACGGTGGTAAGGTTGTCGAATACGTCTCTAAGCTACAGAATCCCGACGGAAGCTTCTCGGGTGACGAATGGGGGGAGGTGGATTCTAGATTCGTCTACTGTGCGTTGAGTACGTTGTCGTTGCTCGGGAGGTTGGGTGATGCGCCCGGGGTCTCGGTGGGGGGGGCAGTGGAGTTTGTGCTTAGGTGTTTAAACGCTGATGGAGGGTTTGGGATGGCGCCGGCGGCCGAAAGCCATGCCGGACAGATATTCACCTGTATTGGAGCATTGAAGATTGCAGGGGTTGTTGAGAAGTCGTTGTCGGAAGATCAGCTTAACCTACTGGGGGACTGGCTGTGCGAGAGGCAGCTGCCGAATGGAGGGCTTAATGGGCGACCGGAGAAACTGGAAGATGTGTGTTACTCCTGGTGGGTGTTGAGCAGTATGGCTATGATTGGGAGGTTACATTGGATCGATAGGGAGAAGCTAGTCGAGTTTATACTTTCTTGCCAGGACGAAGAGAATGGAGGGATTGCCGATAGGAAGGGTGATGTCGCGGATGTTTTTCACACAGTTTTTGGAATTGCTGGCTTGAGTTTGTTGGGTTATGAGGGACTCGGAGAGGTTGATCCTGTTTATTGTATGCCGAAGG